TCTCATACCATTATACATTTTTTATATATTTATTATTTTTATTATATTAACCTTTCAGCTGTGCCTGGCTAACAATACAGATATTAAAATGACGTGGCTCACGTGCCCTCATGTACCGTATCAAATAACATAAAACTGAGCTTTGGTCTGTACAAAGTAACTTGTCTTGGCTGTGTTTTAGTAGACTAGTATTTTGTAAAATACAGTCACATTTTAATTACTATACATTATATATGTATATAGATTATTGTTATTTTGAAATAAGTTCTTAAACTTATTTTTCTTAAAATGTAGAACAGTAAATAAAGAAGTAAAGCAAACAATTATCTCTTCTAGTTACGACCTTTATACTTAGGTGCTGCTTGACGTAGGTTGCTAAGCCTTTAAAAATTTGCACGTGGAGGATATGAAACAAAATATTTTTTAAGGTTTTATATATACATTTGAATAACTAAAAAAATTATAAATTGCTACATCAATACCATAGAATTCTACTATAATTTATCAAGCTTATCAACTAAGATGTATTTTAGTCTAGAAAATATGAAATTTCGAGCAGACTAAAGACACACCCTACCTCGTTGAAATAATGGTTCAAAAGAAAGAAATGGTGCCAAGCCAGTAAAATGGTTGATAAAGCCACTAGAGGGACATTCTGAGCTTCCGATTGGTTATTCATGTCATACATAGAAGTAAGTGCATATAAATGAGTGTTTCCGAAAATGGAAAGAGGTGGGTAGGGTGCCACTGTGTTTGATTTATTATATGAGTAATATCTCAGCAAATTGAAAAGATAAGACCTTCTTATTTTATATTCTAGCCTGTCAATATTGTTAATTTGAGTTTCTAATTCGTTCGAAACTATAGACTTAGTATTTTGACTTCACAAACATCTAATTTTAACCAGTGCTGCATTCTACATACCATTTGACACACAAAAATCAATGTTTATCTTTGTTTTTTAATATTTGCTTTTAAATTAAGAAATTGAGAAATATATAGAACTAAAATCTGAATTATAATCTACAGTTTGACACCAAATTATTGACATAAATTCATGAAATAGTAGTTCTATTAAATTTTGAATGCGAGTCAACGAACAAGATGACATGACCTTTCACCCATGACCCATCTCAAAAGATTTAAGTTGCTAAATTTTTATGAGATCAGATTTAGAACTTACTAATCCTAGTCCCTCAAACTTACTTGATTATAATATTATGCACCCTCAAGCTATCATCTGAGTATGGCATAAGTTGGTGTTCAGTCATTATTGATAAATTATTTATTGCATTGAAATATTTCTCTAATTGGTGGAAGTACAGGATCAGGAAAATGTATAGGGCATAGGCATGTTTATTCTCTCCTCCTCTAATCTAAAGCATCCAAATCTATTCTCCCTAATTAATGCTCTCAATTTATGGTATTTCACAAAGACTGTTTCTTGTTTTTGGGCAGAATAAAGCTAATGATCTTCAAAGTGGCAGTAAGAAGTATGTTACTGTTATCTTTGTACTTGTTTTGGATGAAAATTCCTTACAGAATCAATATTATTGAGCTATAAAGATGCTGCTGTGCCATTCTTATCCAGCTAACAGCAGTTCTAGAAAGTACGTATCTGTTGTCTCAGTTGTTTTTTTACATCTCAGGTGATGTCATTGCACCAGTTCTTCATATAGCTAGTCATGTTAGTGCTATTTTCATTTGTTATGTTGAAACATTAAATTTATGCATATACCTTCCTGGATAATTCCATGGAATTTGGATGTAAAGCTAAAAATGCATACTTTTTCAAGAGATCATTTCAGGGTTGAATCATGGTTTTAACATATTGATAGTGACAAATCTACATAATTCACTTGGATGGCTGTGGAATGTTATGGATAGAAACCATTTATGGTTAAGAAGCTACATTGCTTTTAGCCAGGTAGTATGAGTAACAGTAGAATTTTGTTCTTTCATTTTTTTTTTACTATAGGATTACTTACTATTTTTTGCCATTTCTGTGCATACTAGTTTAGTATAGTATATTAAAAAAGAATTGTGCACTTATGGGTCATACCCTATCCAGAAAATGAGGTTGAGTTTGTTAATTTATCATACATGTAACATCAGTAACAAGAAGTTGATGAAGACATTGATCCCATTATACCCTATGGGAATTTTCATGAAGTATCTAGTTTACTTATTCTCCTAAGATAGAGATTGCAACTCAAGAAAATATTAATCAGAATGCCTTAAGAAGAACACATAACAGGAACATATTATTTTATGCTGGGTATCAAAGGTAAATCAAGACATTTACATCCAAATTTGTATAATGTCACCACCTAGAAATAATTGGAAGTACAGATGAGTGATCAGTGGTATTTGCTAATTGATTAGTACAGTACTCCTGACAACAAAGTATGTAGGTAATTGTGGAAACAAACAGAAAAAAATTAGTGGTGGTGTGCCATCTTCAAAAGTATGAGAACCACTGCATTATTCTAAACATGATACCGATCTTCCTATTTTCAGCTAGTTTTGATTTTGTTTAAGGTAATTCTTAAATCATCTTTCCTTTCATGTAATACATATCTTCTGGAGATCAACATTTGTGCATCTTGTGAAAAACTTTTTTTGTTGAAACAAATATTTTGGCAAAAAGTTTTTTAATGGTAACTTAGATATTTCCAAATTTGCAAATTGATTATGCTCGATAGAGATGTCCACATGGTTGCCATTTTCTTTATAAACTGTGCAGTACTCCTCCCATTGATCTTGTATAAATCAATTAAAATGATTAAGTGCAATAATATTTTTATTTAAAAGATATCATGATTGTAATTAGAAATGATTAAGTAGCTATTA